TGGCTTTGCCTTGGAAAACCTTGAGCGTCTATTTGGCGAGCTTCCCTTTCTAAGGATTGACTTTTGAAAGCAGCCTCCTTTTCCAAATGGACCTCAAGTGTCCATCTTACCCCCCCTCCCCCCCCTCCCCCCGGTCTCAGGCTCGATTCCTCCCTGGTCCATCCCCCCCCCCCGGGCAGTGGCTCAGTGTTCAGCATCGGTTTGCCCGTTTTGGACTTGGTGCTACGAACTTTTACATGTTCCACCGATTGCACGCATGTTCCACCGATTCAGGTTCATTTGAGACCTCAGTCTTCTCAGTAAACCACCTCGCAAGAATCTTTGCACACGCAGCATGCAGAACCCAGAGGTGCTTTAAGACAGCTTCTGACGCCTCTCGTTGTTTTCATTTTTCAAGGTTTGCCACGCCACCATGTGCGTTTGCGTGTCGCATCCTACGAATCTTGCCGGGCCTCTCGTTGTACACAAGCTACCCATGAATCCACTCTGTCACCGACCCATCTCATGCAACAACTGCTAGTTTTCGTTCACACGCTCCTCAAGTTGTTGGTTGACCATGTTTGACCTATCATAAAGGTTCAATTGTTGTTTAGGGAGGCCACAATGATGGCTGATAGCTAGAGCCCGTAGCAGACAGCAATGGAGGCATAACCTGCATGGTGGAAACTGGAAAAGAAGCGGCTGATAGCTTCCAGTTTCTCAACACATGCTTTGCAGGGCGCGTTTAACCAGTGGCCTATTCCCATGCATGGGAAGGTGGGGCTCGAATCGAAGGCTATTCATGCTGTCCTTGAAAATTCGGACCCCCAGGCAAGCTCACTAGGTCAATGATCCCATGTCAGTGGTGATGCGGTGCAGCTACTAGTCTTCCACGTTTCCACGCCTGGCTCAAAATCCAGCAGCCGATGAAGACCGCCATGGTGACATCAACCTGGCATTTGCCTGCCCATGTGCGCCCCTAACGCTTGCCGTCGCAGTTCAGCGTGGCCCTCCCGCTGCAATGTGGTCAGCTCCCGCAGAAAGCGCTGGCCACGGGCACTGCATCTCTTTGAGGCCATGCCTCTCGTGCAGCCAGATGTGATCAGCTTCAATGCGGTCAGCTCAAGAAAGAGTTGGCAGCAGGCTTTATCATGTTTCATGCTCATGCCGTTGTTAGAGGTTCAACGGGACATCGTGAGCTACACTGCCATAAGCTTTCGCCAGGAACGCTGGCAGCTCACGCACTTTGTGTTTCAGGAAATTCTCATCGCCAGTGTGCGGCCAGATGCTGCTTGCTACAACTCAGGAATCAGCTTATGTGGGAAATGCAGCAGATGGCAGCAGTCTGTGCAGTTATTGGGCACAATGCCAGGTCGAAGCATTCAATTGGACGTCGTTAGCTACAGTGCGGCCAGCACTAGCTGCGAGCGGGTGTGGAAGTGGCGATCAGCTTTGCATTGCCTGCTGGTAATGGTCGCGGCTGGCATTGTGCCAAATGCAGTTCTGTGTGGAGCCACCATCGCCGCTTGGAGCAAGGCTGGACAGTGGCAAATCGCGTTGCTATGCCTTGTTGGCATTGACAAAATCAGTATTTGTCCCGATGCCATCAGCCACAGTACGGGCATGACCTCTTGTGCGAACAGGGGGGCCTGGCAAGTTGCGCTGCAGCTGTTCGACTCGCACGCTTGTCTTCAACAAGATGCGATCAGCTTTAGTACTGCGATCACCTGTTGCGAGAGCGGCGCACAGTGGCAGCAGTCCCTGCAGTTGCTTGAGGCCATGCCTTTTTCAGACCTTAAGCCAAACGTTTTCAGCTACAGCCCCGCCATAAGTTCGTTCGAAAAGGTGGGGCGATGGCAGGCTGCATTGGGCTCGTTTTACTCCATGTCTCAACTTGGGATTGCACGCAATGTCATCACAAACAACGTGACCGTCAGCGCATGCGAAAAGGCTGCCCAGTGGAAGCAGGCCATGCTGTTGCTTGCAGCTATGGGAACGGTGAGGGCAAGGCGTGACATGTTCAGCTTCAGCGCAACTATCAGCTCGTGTGAAAAGTCTGGGGAGTGGCAGCCGGCGTTAGCACTGTTTCAGTCCATGATGATAGAAAATACTGAGCCCAGCATTGTCAGCTCCAACGCAGCGATCAGTGCACGTCAGAAAGGCGGAAAGTGGCAGCATGCAATGAAGTTGATCGAGGCCTTGTGTTGGGCAGAGCTGTTGCCGGATGTTATCAGCTTCAATGCAACGATGAGTGCATGCGGCAAGAGCTCGCAGTGGAGGCAAGCCATAGGAGTCCTAAGCACCATGCCGGAAGAAGCGAGCGTCATCAGCTTCAATACAGCTATCAGCTCATGCGAAAAGTCTGGGGAGTGGCAGCAAGCATCATCCCTGTTTCAGTCCATGATGCTTGCAAATGCGCAACCCGGCATTGTCAGCTTCAATGCAGCGATCGGCGCGCGGCAGAAAGCTGGAAAGTGGCAGCATGCGAAGCTGTTGTTTCAGGCCTTGGGGTGGGCAGAGCTATTGCCGGATATCATCAGCTTCAACGTCGCAATGAGTGCATGTGGCCAGGGCACACAGTGGACACAAGTCCTTGGCTTGCTGAGCGCCATGCCAGAAGAAGCAAGCATCATTAGCTTCAGCGCAGCAATAGATGCATGCAAGACTGCTTGCCAAGCCCGCTGGTTTTCAAAGGTAGCTCTGAATTAGATAGAACAGCACAACACTGCTGCATTGGCAGTGGGTATGGCATGTGCTGGCCAAGCCACAGTTGCAACGGCATCGTTGCACACATCGGCACACGTTTCTTTCTCAGATTCATCACTGTACAGGTTGAGCCACCCTGCAAGCCTTTGAAAGAAAGAAAGAAAGAAAGAAAGAAAGAAAGAAAGAAAGAAAGAAAGAGAGACAAATAGAGAGAGAGAGAGAGAGAGAGAGAGCGCGATACTGTAGCAGAGAGAGAGAGAGAGAGAGCACGATACTGTAGGAGAGAGAGAGGGAGGGAGAGCGAAAGAGAAGCAATTGCGCTCAGAGATGCTAAGATATCGCTGTCATTGGCAAGCGCTCAGCGTTTGATCTTGGAGAACCGTAGGCCTCCTTGTCAAGCATCGCTTTGATTCAGAAGCAGGGGCAAAGAGAAGGCGAAGAAGTAGTGATCGAATAAGTAGTGATCAAGGTTTGGATTTGCTTGGTGGTGGCCCGAAGAAGTGGTCGAGGCAGAAAGTCTTTCAGCATCCTTCCACGCAACAGCCACATAGGCCGGATTGTGAAAGGCTGTCGACCGAAGCCGGGAGGCTCCAAACAGACTAGGGTGGGGTGATGTGAAAAGCCACCGTTGCATGGCACTGGAAGGCCCAAGCGCCAGCTCCTCCGGTGCCAGCGGCGAAGCTGCGCAGCTCGGGCCGCTTGCCTGACAGGGACATGGGGCGGGGCGAAGCGACTTTCAGAAAACAGACGCGCAATTCAGACAAGCAAGATCCAGAAAACATTCGGAAAACAAGGTTTCCGGATGGTCTGGACAACCGGGACGATAGGGATGATTGGGACGGTTGGGGTGGCAGTTGAGACGGTGCGGAAGGTCAGGATGGCCGGGACGCTTCAGGCTTCGAGTGGTTTAGGGGTGCGTTTAGGGTTGGCTTTGGGTCATTTTAGGCTTGGTGTTCAGCTGGTTTAGGATTGGTTTAGACTCGGTTTAGGGTGGTTAAGGGTCTGTTCAGAGCTGTTCAGGGAGTTGGTTTCGGGCTGGTTTAGAGCGCGTGCGCGTATCTGCTTGGCACCAGGCGGCCACCTGTTTGCCAGACTTTGGGGGCTTTGCCAAAGGCTGGCTTTCTCCCATGTTCTTGTCGTGGAAACCATTTCAGATGGCACAAGGAGTAATTGTGCCAGAGAGCTTTACTAGGATTCATAAGATTGGTGAGAAGCTCACAGGTTGACCAATGGCCAATGGCTTGACCAGAGAGTTGGGCGGTGTTGGGGAACCGCTTGTTGGCGTGGGCAGGGTGTAGAATAGTGTCGGTTTCGACGCTTGCCGGATTTTCCTGCAGTGTTGTGCATCCTTTGATCTGAGCCTCACACGCAGGTGCCTCATTTATTTTTGCCCAAGGCCCCAAATGACGAGGCACACCTTCAACCTTGAAGAAGCAACTCACAGACTAAAGAGACCGATGTTTCGCAGCGCTTCCCTCCGTTCCCAATGCGTGCCAGCGGTTGCCAGCCGCGGTGATCTTAAACAACTGCCTTCCCAACTCGAATGCAAGGGGAACGTGTCAAGACAGAAGTGCAAAAACGTTTTTTCAAATTGGGGCCTGCCGGCACTGGGAAGAAGGCAGAAGACGTATGTAGCCCTGGCATATCAATGGCTAGCATGGGAGTTCTCAGTAGGGTTCATTGGGTGCAATGAGTAATGGCAGCTTTCTGCTCTTCAATGTTCGGGGTTGTGCAGTAGAATGCGCTGTCCATATTCGATGCTTGATTGCCACACCAGCATGAATGCATTCCGACGAGCCTCAACAGCTGTTCTCACTACAGCTCTGTCAATTTGGAGAAAGTGCGCCGGGGCTCTTCAGCAAGCTAGGAAAGGTCTAATTTGAAAAACCCTTTACAACACAGCAGGTGCTTGCTGCCCAAGATTGTACGCTTGCAAGAAGGCGTTGTTCGGAGAGAACTCGGTTTTTATTCATCACCTGGGAAGCCCAGCTTCCAAGGTTACTCACATTGAGCCGGGCACAAAGAGTTATGCGACTCCATAGGAGTGCTCTCTAGGTCTACATCCAGTACGGCTAGATGCCTCAGCCCAGTGGCCATTGGTGCCTTGAATGCCTGCACATCCTGGAGATCCATTGCGCACGACCGGAGAAACATGGCCGCTCGTTTCGCTTTGTCCGTGCAGAGGTCTGGTTCTAACTCCCTAAGCTTCTAACTCTTGGAACTTTTGCACGGCCACAAGTCCAAACAATCTCACATTGAACATGTGAAGGGCCAGCCATGAATAGGTTTGGCAGCGTCTTCTTCATCCGTGCCAGGCCATGTGTTTTACCTGGTCCACATTGCTCACCGGACGACCGGTCAGCGGGCAGTGCTTGCATTCGTGGACTTGGCTGCGACCATTGCTGTGAGGCCGGAAGCCAAGCAACGCGGGCGAAAGTTCTACAGACCCATCCGGATCCAGCATTTTCCCAAAGACCTCTATGTGGGACTGATTGAAGCAGCTAGCTCTCCAAAGGGCACTCTTGCAAGGAACCCTGCCAACACGGCCATCGCCCAGAGCTTGGACGCTCTCAAGGCGAGGTGCTGCCCAAGGATGATTTGGACGGATGGCGGAAAAAGTTAGGAGTCGGTAGGTCCTTTGAATTTGATTTGGACTGCAGCGTCCCGCAAGATGTTTCTGCGCACTTCTGAAAGCGCAGCCAGATTTTGACGTGTTTCGTGCTGGGGGAATGGGAGCGTAGACCCTCATGCATCCTCATGCCCTCGTTCCCCCCCCCTGCAGGAATGGGGTCAAAAGGATTGCTAGTCAAAGATCCGTCTACATTGTCGTGTGCGTGCTGAAAACCGTCAGGTCGTGCCCATTACCCCGGCACTGTTTCCACTGCACTCGAAGGAGTTCCGATGAACTGGGGTTAGGCAAAGCAGACGACTTGCTGGGGTGGTCCATTCCAATGACGCTCCAATTTGTGCACCCTCCACCACTGACTGTCCAATGAATCTCTAGAGGAATTCTAGTGATTTGCCAAAACATGCACATGCTTTGCAGAGGCCAATTTCGGAAGTGACAATTGCTGGAGTTGCTTATCCAAGCTAGCCCTTCGCATAAAACATGGGGCTGCGGCTCTTCGACCCGCATGAGCTTGTAGGTTTAGTGGAAGCAGTGGTTCAACCCCGGATATGGCGTCAACTTCTTTCCAACAGTTGGCGGCGTTTGATAAATGTGTGAAATAGTTAACATGTTTTGAATGTCAATCACCTCATTTTGGCGTTACTCACGGCTCTAAGACGGTTTCAATTACCCCCCAAGAAAACATTGGCATACAACCACTGTACAACCACTATGAAAAGGGCGACGCCCTGATTTCTTCCGGCACTATAGTGCTTTGGGAGTAGTAGTGGAAACAGTCTTAGAATGTCTGATCTTGGCGCCTTCAAGACAGGATTGGTTGTCTTTCCTATTTTTCGGGTTGGGCCGGCACCCACTCCGACACTTTGTTTTCTTCAAAATAATCCCTTCCCCCAAATGCTAAACCCGCCCAGTTTCCGGAGGAAAAAACGGTTTTAGCATTAGGGGGGGGGCCTGTTCGTTTTCGAGAACCGTACTCCCGGAGCTCCGGCTCGAAGGTCGCAACTTGTAATACAGCCGTAGTAAAGGAAACGTTCTCCCCAAAAGTCGCAACTTTGTAGTACAACCGTAGGAAGGAAACGTGCTCCCTGATCCCTCTAATGGGACTGGATTTGACCATCGGCAGGAAAATGCCATACTTTAGAATTAATAGCATTGGCTCTTCTAAAAGTAGTTTTCCCGGATTTGGGATTTTCAAAAGTCGGCTCTAGTATTAGGGGTACGTTTAGCATTAGGGAGAAGGGATTACGGGAATCTTGCAAGGTTGTCCCAATTATCAGGTTTCTTTCTTGGTGTTCCCTGGCCAGGCCACTTTGCTGGCGCTTAGAGATGGTCGAGAGGCCTTCTGGGAGTCCTCCGCGACTTGGCAGATGGTTGGGTGCCTGTCCAACTCTTGCGAAGTCCGCTCTTCTACCGAAGCCCGCTTTGCTCGGTCACCTATCCTTGCAACGGGTCCATTGCCGAGAGTGTGCGCGGTTGCAGCGGCAAAGGTGGCGAAATGCAAACCAGGCTTGAGCTTTAGGATTCCGGATGCTCCATGTCAAGGATGCAACGACACGTCGAACCCACGCAATCTCAGATCCTGCCGCAGCTGCTGGAGCCATGGCTCAGTGCGACCCCAAGGATCAGGCACACCTGGTATCAACTCGTTCTCGTGCGCACGTGCGAACCTGGGCCTTGAAAGCAGAGCAGCGGCAGAGCACAAATCATTGCCTGTTCATCTTGCTGTTCGTTGCGGGGGAAGGCTTCAAATTCATTCAAATTCCAAATCGGCCAAGGCCCTGGCTCCAAATCGACGATTGTGCTTTTGAGCCCGGTGCGTTTCTCCTCAGATGTGCACCAGGAGGCGCGGACAGGGAGGGAATGCTGGTGGCGTATTTTGTCTTGCTATCTTGTCCTCGGGGGTGATCAGTCTTGGTGCACTGTGGGTGCGCATTTTGTGAAGCGCCAGCACCAGAGGCACGCCTTTATCATGAGGATGGGTTTTGTCGCGCAAAAGGAACGATCCACGTCACACGTTCTTGTTCTTTTCGTTGCTGCTGCTACTATTGGCGTTGCTGTTGCCGTTGTTGGCCTGACTGTTTGAGAAGCCTTCGGCAAACAAATCCATGCGCTTGTCAGGGATTTAGCGTGGGCTTTGTTCCAAAATGTACACTGTGGTTTCGATGAATTGTGCTAGTCCTGTGGACCTGTCCTGGGGGGGTTCGCCAGTTTTTCTACATCATGCCAGGCGCATGAGTGGCTCACCTTCACCCGGCTGGCGCAGGAGGGGGGCATGCCAACACCTCTGCGGAGGAATGGAAAGCTCATTGGGGCCGTCTGAACAAGCCAAGGTTTTACACAAGATGATCCATGCGTGTGGGGCCGCAGCCCACTTTTATTGTTTTGTGTCGTTCTTCAGCCACACGCAGGCGTATTTGCCACCCTGAAGTCACGATCCCTGACCAGCCGAAGGAAGCGTGCTGTGGCAAGCCCTTGCACAGCCTGGAGCTTGAAGGGCTGAAGCACATTGTCCCGGGAGCAGAGGAAAAGAGATTTGGCGTATCACGTGGGAACAAGGCACCCGTTGATTGCCCTTCGCCAGGCTCAATGCTAGCAAGACCATTCTGCTTGACTGCTCTGAGGCCCCTTGCAAGCTAACTGGTCCAAGAAGGCGGGAGAGGGTGGTGCAAAGGCCAGCAATCAGGGGCCAAAGATCAGCGCATGAGTTTGGCAAGGGTGGTTGGTTCATATCCAGAACCCGCTTCAATATGATCAACTGTCATTCGGAGCCTCTTTAGAGCAGGAGGCGTCTGGGGTTTGGACTTGCCACTGCTTAATTGACAATTATCATGGCTTATTGCCTGCGCTTCTTTTTCCCATTTATGAAAGCGGGTCCAACATTGGTTCTGCCAGCTTCTTGCTCAAACTGAAACTGTTCTGCGGCTTTGCCGGAGGTCTTCGCAGTCGGCACTTATAATCTTGCCATCGGGCATCGCCTGGGCGATTCACCTGGGAGATCTTTAAAGTAGGTTGGTTGGTAGGTTGGTTGGTCAGTGCCTGTTCAATGCACGCGCGCCTTGCCTGGCAAATAGCACCCCGCCAGGGCTTGCAGGTGCCTGCTAGCTTCCAAGAAGGCATGCGGAGCGTGGGGCTGAAAGGTTGGCAATTGGGCGGAGGACATGTGCAGTCAAGTTGCCATTTTTGTCCAAAAAATGGTGAAGGTAGGCTGATTCATAAAATGTCTAAGAGTTGGGAAGCTGCAAGTGGAAGGTTGTTTGTCGTGTTGGCTTAGGCGCCTCGTCCAATCCCAGAAGACCCAGGGATGTCAGACAGGGAGCCGGGCCGAAAGGTGCAGAGACGACGGATGCAAAGCCAACGGGTGAGGCCAGCGTTTATATTTGATGGACTGGGCTGGGGGCGCATTTGTCAAAGGAAACCAGCCTATTGAAGTGGGCTTTTTTGTTTCACGGCAGCTGATCTTGAGTTGCTGCCATGTTTGATGGCGACCCTGCACAATCCTGTTTGTGTTGTGACTGTTTTTGTCTCCCATCATTCTATGAAATGAGCTGAATGGACGCGTGCTTGAGCGAGCATGCCTTTTGATCAAGTTCCTGCCTCAATGATGGACTGATGGCCTGGCTAGCTCCCCACACTTCGGCAACAGAAACATGATTAGCTCGCACGGTTTCTTCTGTAGAGGAACTGCATACTTTCTTGAAACACGGGCGGCCAGTGAGGCGGGCGCTTGTTATGGCACAATCATTTGACGCTTGTTTCGGTCCTGGAGCCAAGTTCAGCGAAATGCTTTGTTCCGAGTTGCCCATGATTTGTGTTTGGAGGCAGGTAAGATGGTCATGCGGTGAGTATGGTCGATGGGAACACCGGGATAAGGATATTCATCCAAGCTTGGAATACTCCTTGCGCTCTGGCAACAGTAGCAGGCCAAGACCATTTCTTGATCCCCATGCCGCCAGGCAAATAAGAATGAAGGCGAGGGTGGAGTCTCGAGCGCCGGCCGCTGGTCTTCTTCTTGATCTCCCAATGCCTCGAACGTGTACTGAGCAGTCCCATGGGTCTGGTGGGACTTGCTGGCTGGTTGTTCGATTGCCCATCTGCTCAGCATGTATCGTTTGCAGTTTGGGGTGCGTCTCTTCCACTGGGTGGCTTGCATCGCTGGCTTAGGTACTTGCGTTGAAACCCGAAAGCGGTTCTAAGTTGCACAGTAGGATGTATAGGCTCACGATTTCCTGGCCCGTTCACTGTGCACACCTGGCCCATTGTTCAAGTCCACAACCCATTCTCCATGAGACAAAAACTGAGGAGGAAAGTGCGCGCACAGCGACCCATAGACTCGCAGAGACTCAGAGACACGCAGGGGGCACCCGCACACGCACACACACACACACACACACACACACACACACACACACACACACACACACACACACACACACACACACACACACACACACACACACACACACACACACACACACACACACACACACACACACACACACACACACACGCACACACACACGCACGCACGCACGCACCCACGCACACGCACACGCACACACGCGCACACGCGCACGCGCACACGCGCACACGCGCACACGCGCACACACGCGCACACGCGCACACGCACACGCGCACACGCGCACACACGCACACACGCACACACGCACACACGCACACACGCACACACGCACACACGCACACACGCACACACGCACACACGCACACACGCACACACGCACACACGCACACACGCACACACGCACACACGCACACACGCACACACGCACACCCACGCACACCCACGCACACCCACGCACACCCACGCGCACCCACGCGCACCCACGCGCACCCACGCACACCCACGCACACACGCACGCACGCACGCACGCACGCACGCACGCACGCACGCACGCACGCACACACGCACACACGCACACACGCACACACGCACACACGCACACACGCACACACGCACACACGCACACACGCACACACGCACACACGCACACGCACACAGAGACGCAAAGACCCGCGGAGACACGGCACACAGACACACAGACACAGGCACAGACACAGACACACACACACACACACACAAAAGCTGGTTTCCTCATTTTGCGCAAATATCACTCAGCGTTAGCGGAGGGGTTTCGCAAACGCCTAGCTTCGAGATGCGATGCAGCGACGTTACTTTTGAAGGTGCCCAAGTTTAGTAGAGGGTGGAAGTTCGACCTAAGCGAATCATACCCCAGAACCATATCAATAATCATACCTCGAACAATACCCCGAACGATACCCCCTTTCACAACACCAGGCAGTACTACTTCTACTACTACTACTACTGCTACGACTACTACTACTACTACTACTACTACTACTACTACTACTACTACGAGTACTACTACTACTGCTACACTACAACGGCTACTATTACTATTACTATTACTTCTACTGCAGAAAAGCCGTTCTTCCCTTGAGTGAGCGCGTGGCCCCGTGACCACGTGCGCGAAGCTAACAACATGTTTCTCCAACGGCAGCTTGTCAGTGCTGCTAATATTGCAACAGAAGTTTCAGTGCCTGCGAACCACACCCCGAATCATACCTCAAATCATACCCGCGAACCAGACCCCGCATCCAAACTTCCTGATCCGAGCAGCCTACTTCGGCACAGACCCATCTATTTTCTGTGCGTGGGGGTTCGGGGCATGCGCTATACATACACGTGTGTATGCATATGGTTCATATATGTACGCTGTCATAGTGTGTGTGCGTGTGTGTGTGTACGCATGTGTGCGTACGTGAGTGTATGTGGTTGATGCGTGCTTGTTTGCTTTGATGGTTTGTGTGGTTTGTTCGGTTTGTTCGGTTGATTGGTTAGTTTGTGGCTTGCTGTTTGCTTGCTTTCTCTGTTTGCTGGCATTATTTGCTTGCTTTCTTCGTTTGCTTGTTTGATTGCTTGCTTGTTTGCTTTGTTTGTTTGTTGCTTGCTTGTTTGGTTGTTTGTTTGTTTGTTTGTTTGTTTGTTGGTGTGTTTTGTTGCTTGTTTCGCTTGTTTGTTTGTTTATTTGTTTGCTTGTTTGTTGTTTCAATGGTGTGTATGCGTGGTTAATTTTGCAAGTTCTGGTATCTTATCAAGGCTCTTGGTGCTCCATGTGTTTCACCTGCCTCCTGGCAGCGCAAGCGGGTAAGGGAAACAAGGGCGGGCCCCCGAACCGATTGCTTGGCAGGTGCACTTTGCTGGTCAAACTGTGTTTTTGCTTTCTCCCAATCTCATGTGTGTCTTGCTTTTGCTGCACTTGCTCGTGCGCGAATCACTGCGTGCAGGTGTCGAGGGTCCACGAATAGAGGCTGGGACCTGCACGCTTTATCAGACAGAGTGTGGCACAAGCTGTGCTGCTACCGGTTCTGGACATGTCCGCAGTCATGTTTGGCCAGGGTGCGCAAACTCCGCCTCAGACTTTGGGGAAGGTGGGCCTGAGAGACAGCCCCTCTTCCGTGGCCATCGGAGCTTCAATTAAACACAGGTAAGTGAAGGCCAATGAGGGACAGTCCCAAACATGAATAGGCGCGGCTGCCCTTTGAGCCTTCATGGTACTTTTTAGCGCCAGGTGTTGATCCTAAATTATTGCATCTTAGCGGCGTCGATGAACTGCTTTGGGCTCACCTCACATAAATCGAAGTGACCAGAGTTTCACGAGTCGTGTCACCTCCGCAAATTACACCTCGGGCCAGCATCATCGCTTGCCAAGCAGAAGCGCAAACTTCAAGAACATCGTGTTTTCGTGCTTTCAGAAAAACATTGTATTTTTGATGAAACCATGAAAACTAGGCTTCTGAGGCCAAGCGCTCATTTGGAGCACAGGGTGGAGTGGAATTCGCAAACGCATCACCCATTAAGCTTTCAAATAATGACAGGGCTCTATACTGAATAGGCTGCAAGTTTTAAGGCCCACATTGATGAGCCTGTCAGCCAGAATGCGCAGCATGCTACCGCAACAGGGTCGTGAAGACCCCTGAAAACTGGCGCCAGGTCATACCGAAAGCAGGTTGAACATGGGTGCTGGGAGCGCAAAAGCAAGACCGTGTGACACTTTTTGAGGTTGGTTCTTTTTTGCGGGGCGGGGTCCTGCGAAAACCTATAAAAACCCGCAGAAAACCGTAGCCCCAACCAAAAAACATTGTTTTGGAGGACATCATGTGTTCTATCCCGTAGCTAAACCGCAGAAGGCCCGTAGTAAAGCGTGGCAAGCCGTGGGTTTTCTATGGGTTTTCGCTTTCAATCCCGGATGCGCTACTTCGAGAATTTTGGCGGAAATCAGCGAAGTCGGGCAAAAACGGTCTTTGCTTGAGCTTGCGCTGTTTCAAGCCAGCACGGCCTCACCATGGCATTGCTGCTTGACAAGTGTCATGAATCTGGCAGCCTGTTTTGAGGGACCCAGTGGTGCCTTTGAAAATTTAGGTCCCCGTGCGAGTGACGAGTGGCAAATGCGAAGCTGATTTCGTTATGAAGCAAAAGGGGAGAGGGCAATGAGGTTCTGAGGTTGACCTGATCGAAAATATAGTGTTTTCCGGAAACATCGTGTTTTTTAGGTATTACGGTGTGCCATTTTCCTGGTAGAGGCAAGTTGATTGCAACCAAGTAGCTTAATCTATCTATCGAATCTATTCTGAACTAATCTAATCGAATCTGGCTATTTCTGTACCTAGATCGCTCTGTATGCCGCATCTTCCGCAAACATGTTGCACCTGTCATGGCATCTCTGCATTGAATCTCTGCATTGACCTCGCGAAACCACTGAAGAGCGTGCTTTCCCGGCATACTTTTACGCATAGAAACTACAGTGCGAGAGCGCGCTTCGCGCGCGACCGTTGTGTTTCTTCAGGAGGGAATGATTCTTGTGCCGGAGTGATAGGAATGGCATGCTTAGCTGCACAAGCTGCAGTTTTTCGGCCCTGCGTGACGCGCTTTGCGTAATGTTGGAACTTGATTAATAAAGGGCCCCTTCCCCTCAACAATGGAGGCACTAGAATTCTGTAGGCTCACTTTTGGGACGTCCAAACAATGGAGGATTTCGGGGCCCAATCCTACTTTAGTATTGCAGCCACTTCCTTTTTGGAATCCTACTTTAGTGTTGCAACCACTTCTTTCTGAGCAGACTTCTTGGAATACTAATTACTTTAGTAGCCATTCAAAGGGTGTGCCTTTCAGCCAGGGAGGGCTTGAGCTAGAAAAAACACAATTAAAGGGGAATGCTTTTAAGCAAGCGGGCCACCAATTGAAAGGGGAATGCTTTTAAGCAAGTGGGCGACCAAATGACAGGGGAATGCTTTTAAGCAAGTGGGCCACCAATTCAAAGAAAAATGCTTTTGAGTAAAGCAACTGACAGGTTATTTTCTGGAGGGGGCTGGGGGCTTGCAACTAATGTGGTCCCCCTAAAGAATGCCATTGTTGTGGTTCAGCGGGGTCTGTGAGGGGCACGCTTGTCCTGATTGTTTTCTATTTTTTAAACACGGTTCAATAAAGCATTTGCAGTTTCTAGGCTGGGGATGGTTTTCGAATATCAGAGGTTTTAGCTGGCTTTGGGTTTTGTGTCTGAGCAACCAAATTAAAAGAAGGATGCTTTTAGGCAAGTGTTTTAAGCAAGTGGGCCACCAAGACAGGGGAATGCTTTTAAGTACGTGGGCAACCAGTTAAAAAGGGAATGCGAATGCTTTTTGAGTAAAGCAAAACTTTTGCAATTGAATCTGGTCCAAATGAATGTGATTTGGGTTTGGGACTTTGGGGTATATCAAATCTTTTTGGTTGGGGTTGGGACTAAGGGGTAGCAACCTCAACCCCTCACGCCCCTGCGGGGGCAGCAGCTGCAGCAGCTGCAGCACCGGACCAGTGCACCGTTGCGCGCGCCTCGCCAGCACATAGGGGTGGTCAAAATGGCATCAATGTCAATCCAACTAGAATTCAAATGGCATCAATGTCAATCCAACTAGAATTCAAATGGCATCAATGTCAATCCAACTAGAATGATTCAACATGATGGTCAGCTTGATCAAGTTCATTGACAGGACCAAATGGAATTCCGATGAGCAAGGTGCACATGTTTTCTCCTCACTCCTCATCGTCATCATCCACAGGTGAAACAGCACCAACAATCTCCGTTGGCTGGTAAGCCGGAGAAGCTGGATCTGATCCACAGGGTGAGTCATCAGGCCATTGTAAAGGCGAGCCACACTGTGTCGCCATCTCACGCACCGTGGTCATGTAGCCCGTCTGGGTGCTCTTGTTCTTCATGATGGGCATCTCCTCAGCGCTTTTCTTGTCACCGCCTTTCACCATCTTCTCCTTCACGGCCTTGGCACTCTTCTCAGTGACCTTGACATCGCAGCCACTCTTCGTCTTGTCCTTCACATTGTAGATGGTCTTCTTGTCGTCCTTCACATCGTAGCTGCTCTTGTCCTGGTACTTCACATCGTGGCTGGTCTTCTTGTCGTCCTTCACATTGTAGCTGCTCTGCTTGTCCTGCTTCACATCGTAGCTGGTCTTCTTGTCCTTCACGCAGCTGCTCTGATTGACCTGGTCCTTCACATCGTGGCTGGTCTTCTTCTTCACATAGCTGCTCTCCTTGTCCTTCTCGTCGAAGATGTCCTTCTTGTCCTGCACGTCGTAGGTCCTCTTCTTCTTCACATCGCAGCTCTTAGAGTTGTCGTCATAGATGCGCTTCTTGTCCTTCACGCCACTGCTCTTCTCATCGGTGGCCCATTGGACATTCTTCTCCATGCCCTTGCCCACATTGACATCCTTCTGACCCAGACCCTTTCCTTTCGTCTTTCCAGCACCCTTCGCCTTCTCAGCGCCCTTTGCTTTCATCTTCTCACCACCCTTCACCGCTTGGCCACCCTTCTCATCGCTCTGGGCACCCTTCTGCGTGAAGAAGCTTCGCATTTTGACCTTCTCCTTCTCGCACTTCTCCACCTGGTTCTCACCGCTGTTCAGGAGGCGGGCCACAGACCCTGTCATCTTCACCATGGACTTCTTGGCCGTCTGCTCTTCCATCTCCTGATCGCGCTGGTCCTCATCCACCTCCACATCTGTCAAGTCCGGGTCCAGCTCCAACTTGTCGCCCTTCCCAGCTTGCAGAGCCTTGGCCCTGGGCTGGACGATCTTGCCCTTGTCTTTGCCCTTCATGCCCTGCTGCTTGCGGGCAGCAGCCCACACATCATGGCTCCAGCCCACCACATTGGTGGCCTTCGCCTTTGCCTTCGCCCCGACCATGCCCGTCGTGTTCGCATCCTCGTCCAGCTCCCCAGCTGATGTTCTGTTTCTCGTTGTCCTAGGCTCCTCCACCGCAGTGCCCTCCTCATAGCCGGCCATCCAAGCATCTTGAAGCCAGGCCTCACCAAGCCAGTTCTCGAAGGCTGTCCTGCACCACTCCTCCCACCAGTCCTGAGGCCAGGCAAACACAGGGGAGACAAGATGATTCAGGACAGGAGCAGGTTGACATTAAAACAAAGAAAATGAAATGTCATTTTGAGCTGGGCTGCCATGTTGCCCTCCTGGTAAAGGTGAGGGGGCGGCGGTGCAGGTGGCGGCTGGGGCTGGAGCCCCAACCCCAACCGCTGTCTCAAGCTGGCTAAAGCACCATGTGAGACAGGAGGGGGCGGGAGAGGCGGACGAGGTGGCACCACTCGCCTGCTCATGAGGCCAGACTACTTGCTTGACCTGGAAAAAACCTGTGAAATGCAAGCAGTTCAGCACCACATCCAACAAGACGAGATAAGACAAGCCAATCACAGACTCCATGCCATGTGCAACCGTGTGTGAATCAGATTCAAGTCCAAATTGAAATGATGGTTCTTTCAGACAGGCAGCTCAACACCCAGGCTTTGTTTTCCGATTGGCGGCCAATCAGATCCCACATTGTCTATAGACTTAGACTCGCAGATGTCTAAGAAGCAACGCCCATCAACACCTTGACACTCAGCCACCTTCATCTTTACCAAAAAGATCAAACAGCAACTGGGGCCAATGGGTAAGCCAGGTTCACAATGTTCCCCTTTTCCATAGGCTAATCAATAAGTTTCAAACTGCCAAGCTTGCAAGGTGCCATTGTAAGGGCAACTATGTGCTATTCTGCAACACCAGAACCTTTTGATCTGGCAATGTTAAATCCTGCGCAGCCACACACACTGGCCGCACTGGCTGCATCCCATTCAATGTCGGCCTCAGGTGCCACGCAATGCTGGTGGCTGCACTCATCCACCGGTTCGGCGGCAGCAGCTTCGCTGCTTGGCTTTGGCTCATTTTGACCCCTTGGTCCTCATCCACAGGGCTGAAGGCCACAGAGTTCTCCTGTTCACAAACTGGGTGTAAGATGGGCATTGTTTGAACACAGGAACCATCAAAATGTGGATTCAAAGCATAGTCAAAACATGACTTTTAACAAACAGAAGCACGAGTCCTTTTCAATCTT